GTTGTTAAAAATCCCGAATACTTGTTGCCACTAGTAATCTGCTGCTCATTTCCACTATGCCAACAATTGAGCGGCATTAATGCGATCTTCTTCTACTCCGTGAGAATCTTCATGAAGGGAGGCTTTTCGCTAAAGATTGCAACGTGGATGAATTTCGGTGCAGGTTTTTTGAATTTAGTATTCGCTAGTGTAAGCCCAATATTGGTACAAAAGTTTGGACGTCGTCCGCTAATGATGTTTTCCGCTGGCGGCTGTGGAATATCGCTCTTCGGCATGGCTTTTGCCTTGAATTACATTGTGAGTATTAAATAGCAAGCCTCGCTTTATTGAACATGGACATATACCGATATATTATCAACTCATTCATTTGTTATCCAATCTCATATATTTTAGGACCGCGTAAGTTGGTTGCCAATTCTTTGCATTGCCTTCATTGCTTCCTTCATATTCTCCTTCAATGTGGGCCTGGCGCCTGTGCCATATTTTGTGGGCGCAGAACTCTTTGAAGTCGAGTCGCGCTCGGTGGCCATGTCGATGGGCAACTTTTTTTCATGGAGTGGTAACTTTATGATTGGAATGTTCTTTCCCATGTTAGAGGCTATTTGGGGTTCTTATGCCTTCCTACCTTGTGCTGCGATGTGTCTGTATTGTTTTCTGCTGACGTGGCGTTACCTACCCGAAACTCGCGGAAAAGATGTTGCGGACGTTAAACCAATAATGGCTAAAGGATTTCGTTCTAAAGTGCATTGAGCGACATCTAATTTTAGAAAAGTAAGAATTTAGTATTTTCGTAAGTAAAACGATAGGCAAGTGCGTTCCAGCGCTTTAGTATTGGTATCCAAAGTACCTGTGTTGTAAAATTTAATTTTATAATATTTTTAATGTAAATAGGATGCACATGTGTTCTGTGTATATATTCCTATAGCAACATATCTTTAGTTATTTATTTATTCCTTCCAATTACTCCAAGCTTTAATGTCGCACCTGCCTTAATCATTTACGGTCTACATGTATGTCTATGTACCTAAATAATATGTACATATATATTTAGGTATGTAAGCAGTTATTGTCAAAACATTGTTACCTTTAAAAATAAAAATTTAAAAAAAGTAAGCAAAGATAATTGTGACAGATGTTATTATTTAGGAGTTTTATTTAATTTGTATAGAAAACTTGGAGCTGCTCTTGAACATTTCCGATTTAGGTAATATTTCGGAAAAGGTGTCATATTCAACGAATTACTCGCACATTTGTTGACAAGACTGTAAAAATTAGCTTGACTGCTTTTACAATCAAATTATGACTGATGACAGACATGACTCGAAGCATTTTGTACAAAATATTGAGACAAAAGAACCTTCCAATTGATGACATTTCCAGCTAATTAGTTGTGGAGAAAGATATCAGTATGAACCCTCTTTTATGACCCAAACCGAGTTCGGTGAACTCAAAATTAAAATTAATCTAATTGGCAATGAAGCGAAATGAGATATAAAATTAGGAATTAATGAAGTTTTAGGGGTATTTTAACACTCGAGTATACACATAAATAATCGCTAAACGCTAAAATTATTGATATGGAGACAGACATTTCGAATTCTGGCATCCTAGTGTACATTTAGGATATGACTGTACATAGGCATATAACTTTTTACAATTTTTGCAAATACGAAAAACGGCACACCATAGTCAAATAGAGAATAAAAAAGTGTGAACCCCATTATTTTTTTTTTCCGAAATTGCAAAAAAGTTTCCGCGCAAAACGAAATTACTTTTTTATCAGAACTGCTGAAAAAAACAAAAAAAGTTGAGTACAGTGTACACGTTTTTCTTCATAATAATAGATATTTATTTAACTAATAATCTTCCTATTATTCCAAACGCCTTTTAATGGACCTAAGGGAAGTGCAATACTTATATGAATTGGTCGAATCTTTTAAATACTTCGACTTTTCCCTACATAAAATTTAAAGCAATACCAGCACTCGGTAATGCCCGTTGGAATTCTAGAGCTATTTTGGCATTTTTAGCCTTTATACTTATTTCTGAATATCGTTTGCAATTATATCCTATTTGTAAGTTTGTGTGCGGTGCTTGGAGCGAAATTTGGTTTTCCGATCATACTTTCAACAAAAATAATTTCGCCACACTACAGAAATCATTGGCCGGCTTCACAAAAGCAAATGAATGTTTTCTCAGACATGGGGTAAATAAACCATCAGTTATTAAGGAAGTTCAGCGAAGTAACATCTGCGCAGAGCGTGCAATTAAAATTGTGCAAGACATTTTACCATTGTGTAAATCATCACATAATTTAAACTTAAAACTTATTTCATGTAACAACTGACAAAAGTGTAAAAATATAAATATTAAAAAAAAATTTTAAATTTTGACTTTTTTTAGAAATCCATTTTTACTCGGAACGTCACCTTAAAAAGAGATATTCATTACTTGTACAATATTTGTCACCACGTGGTGGTATGCCAAATTTTTCGTCAAAATTTGTTATATGCCTACTGTACATGCTTATACATACACCGTTAGGACCCACCCACAACAAGGTTGGTTAATTTGATTTGATTTTGATTTTGATGTTGAAATCTCTTTCATATGACAAATATGCCTTTTGCATAACCCGTATACATATGAGTGCGCCTGCATTTAATTACTTTAGCCTTGATTCGGTGCTGTGGAAATATAGAAGCGGTAAATAATTTTATGGAGTAATAAATGATTTGCCTTTATGATTTAGTATTTATATGCACATGTGCAAATACATATGCATGTGTATATACATTTACTATCTATGTTGTACATATGTATATATTAACACGAGGGAACTCTCTATACGATAACGGTACTCCTTATACATAGATACTGAAATATTTTATAAACCATAAGTACATACATATATGTAAACATTGGATGACAGTCGGCTGCAGTTTGCTGACGTTATTATTTAGTTGACTTTGCGACAAACGGTGTGTAATCTGCCAAAAAACTCATCAACTCAGAACTGTACTAAGTTATTACGTAGACTTAGTGAGAATTTTAATTGCATTGGCACGGTTATACATATGACGCTATTATGTGCGACTCAAACTGAAATGAAATGAAATGAAATGAGCAATTAAACGCTTAATGGTTTAATGACTAATGGTCCACAAATACATACCTGTCTCTTATACACATCTAGATGTGTATAAGAGACAGGTTATACATATGACGCTATTATGTGCGACTCAAACTGAAATGAAATGAAATGAAATGAGCAATTAAACGCTTAATGGTTTAATGACTAATGGTCCACAAATACATACATAACATGTATATTTAGAAATAGATCAATTAGGAAGGAGAAAAAAACTTTCCGGTTCACACAATGCAAGATAATTGCAAAGCAACATCTGTGGAACACAATTCATGTAACTGAGATTTCATTATGGGAATACATAGTCGTTCATTGCAGATTTGTTGTAATACAGAACTCTGTACGACTATAAATTAAAAGTTTGAGTGTTTTTAAGATCATTTTAACAGTTTATTTAGGTAATCATAATATTTTTTTCGAAAGTCATGGAAAAAAGAGATCGCAGCAAGTGTCAATCATCTGGACAAGTTTTATTATATTAGTGGAAAATATATTATTAAAATTCAATTAAATCTCAAGGAAGAGTTGCTTTTAAGCAGGTTTTCGTGGAAGATGCAATGCTAAATTGTTAGCAGATTACCACTAGTTTGTAATGAAAGAGGGTACCTCTGCTGATAAGTGGAAAAGTTACTTTTTCATCATTTTCTTTCAGAATAAGTGGCTTAGTTTTTATATTCACCACTTAAACCTCAGCTATATTGATTCGTTGTCAAAGGTAAAATATATTTTTTTTTTTAAATTAGTAATTTAAATTAAAAATATGTTATACAACTTTAATACTGTCTTTATTTGTTTATAGAACATCAATTTATAAAACAAAAACTCCATTCAAGTTTCTGAGTTCAGCAGGTCCACCTCGCTAAAAAAATAGGCGTTCCATTCAGCGTTAGAGCCCAAAAAAATCACAGTGTAATTTTATTAGGGCTGGCAAATTTTTAAATTAATCATTGACTGTTTTAGGGGAGCCGTAAGAAATCTCAGTTGGCAACTTCGCACATATTTTCGCAGTGTACCACAAAGTGGGGCATACTTCGTTATTTTTAAACAAAGATTTTTTCTTTATAATTAATTCACTTAAGTTAACACATTTTGTATACGCCTTGCATGTACATGAGTACATTTGTTGGCTGCTGAGGAGGCTTTTATTTGAATATACTAAACAAAAACACCTGTTGTAATGACCGCTTAAGCACATCAATTCGTAAATATTCACTTAATACTTTTATGTTGGTAATATTGCAAAAAATGGCATGGTAATATTTGAAAATAATTATATCTTCCCAACATATGTACATATGTGCCTGTAACTGTATAATAATTGTTGATGATGTGAAGTTTGTGCAAATTTAAAACGAGGACATTAAGTATTTTATCCATTTAATCAGACAACCGATTGAATGTATGACAGCTATGCTGGTGGTTTTCAGAAAGACGCGTTATGGAACAGGCCCGTTGTGGTTTATTTTTTAACGAATTCCTATGAGCACACCGAGCCTATTTTAATGAAGCCTCTTTGAAAGAGTGTTAGACTACAATAATATTCTCGTCACTTCGATATATTAAATATACTATAGGCATGTATGTACATATATACATTAACAAGTTTATATCTAACAAACAACCGTGCACCTTGTTGCGAGTGAAAAACATTACTATCAAAGCCATTGAAGATGAATTGAAATCGAACTCAAACTGAAACAGCTAGTCAGATGGTAAAAATTAACATTTTTCAGAACTAAATTTAACATTATGCAGTAAGTATTTTTATTTTTAATAAAAATTTTTCCAATAGAAAACAACAATAATATGTTTATTTATATTTTGAGAAAAAAAGATTTTTCTTCGATTAACGAAACAGTAAGAATCTTTGCAAGCAATAAACTTCATTTTAGTAACACAGTTTTTTTTTCAATCAATTTCTGTAATCTCACCTTAGGTTACTTTCGATTTAAGACCATTTGCCATCAAAGGTTTCACATCCGAAGGCTCGAAACCACGTGTCTCCGGTACATAGCGCCACGTGAGCAAGAGGCAATATATACAAACACCACCACAGGGTAGGAAACAAAATGGTCCAATTAGGCTCTCTATAGGAGGGAAACACATACCGATCAAGAAATTACCAGTCCAACATGAAAAGTTCCCGGTAGCCATGGCCACAGTACGAGGTGGTAATTCAAAGAGTTCTTAAAAGTTCTAAGTGTTTAGTTGTTTTAAAGTTATATTTTGGCAAACTTACCTGTTCCTATAAAGAATGGTATTGGGCCTAGGCCCACATTGAAAAATATTATGAAGGAAGCCATGAAAATAACGCAAAGTATTGGGAACCAGCTGACGTAATCCTAGAATGCATTTTAGTATCCAAATCGAATGACTATAGTAATGTTAGCATAGATATTTACAATATACTTCAAAGCGAACCCCAAGCCAATTAATGATACAGCACAAGCACCCGCTGAGAGGAGCATGCAGGGGCGTCTGTTGAATTTCTCCATTAAAACCAAACTAATGAGCGCAAACACGAAATTTAGCACACCAGAACTGAAATTTAACCAGGTGGCATTTTCGTCGGAAAATCCACATTTGGTGAATATTCTTACTGAATAAAAGAAAATACCATTAATTCCGCTCAAACCTTGACAAGCGGTAAATGAGATAACAATTAGCAGAGGCAGGCAAAATTCTGAGTTCTTCAGCACCGCCCAAAATCCAAGTATTTCACTAGAGGCAGCGGCTGAAGCTTTCAATTCGGCAATTTCGGTATTTATAGTTTCATCAGCATTTTTTCCACGTAAGCTTTTCAAAGACTTCCTGGCCAATTCTTCGTCTTGGCGCACCTTAATTAACCAACTGGGTGATTCAGGAAACAAAAAGGCCGGAAAGAAGCCAATCAGAACAAAAATCAAGTAAGAACTTAAGGCCAATTCCCAGCACTTCTCATTGCCAAAGACTTGTTGTAAACTAAATATTTGTCCAAAAACAATGCCACCCGTTATGCCAAGTAGTGTGAAGACGCCAGCACTGCCACGCAGATGTACTGGCGCGCACTCCAACAAATACATCGGCTGTGAGGTGTAGATTAGCGCAGCTGAGATACCGATCAAAAAACGACCGAATAACATCATCTCAACGAGGTGAGCCATACGGCTGAAATGCAAAAAAAGTCCAGCTAAGGATAACAAAACTCCGCTGAATGCAAGACAACCCTTTCTGTAAAAAGAAGTGGCGTGGAACTAGTAAATCATTATACTTATATATTTATGTATGTGCGGCGTTCCCGGCTTTTTACCTTCCAAATTTGTTGCTTATATATCCAGAAATAAAGGAACCCAAAATGCCGCCAACCTGAAAAATTGACACTATGCTAGCCCATAGTATGTCCGCCTTCGTTGCATTGAGTTGAACGTTGTATGTTCTGGACACACTAGCGATAGTCCATTTTTTGATTACCTTGAAATCGGCAATGCATGCGATTAGCAGTTTGTGGGAATATTACCCAATCTCACCTCAGCAGGCGTATTCATAACCCCCAGCGCATAACCAAGGGGTATAACAGCACCGATGGTGGTCCCGACGCATATCAGCAGCAGCATTGGGGTCCACCCAACTCGTTTCGGCTGTTATATATTAATTATAATAATTTATTCGTTATATTAAAATACAATGGCCGGACAGTGGTTAAATTTGAACGTCTTATGCTTACATCGTCTGGCATCTCGTGAGAATTAAAATGTCCCTCTTTTGTATAGTATATGTACTTGTGTATCTTCAAAGGAATTGAGTTTTATTTGAATTGTATTTTTTATTGAAATTAATTCTGTCAAAATTACAAGTCATCAAAACAACTACAGACGATTCATTACAAAACAGAAAACTCGTACAACAAGTATGGAGAGCTAAGTTCGGTCGTAACCGACCATTGTACACGGTCAAATTTTTTTGGTTGTTGACGAAACAGGAAAATTTCAGAACAATTTCTACCGAATTCGGTAACACTAACACTTATATATTTTTTATATACTATATTTCTCACACAATAAGAGAAGGGCATATTAACATGGTTCTAGCCAATTTTGTGAAGAACCCACACACTGACGACATATTGGCAAAAAGTCTGCTAGATTATCGAAAATTATGATATGTAGTGTATAGGAGCAGTGGTAGTCAGCGGACCGACTTCACATATTTTCGGTACCAAACTATATATTAATATATTATATAACTGTACGTTCACTTGATATTGCTAAGATAGCTTACAATTGATTTTTCCCACTTTTGATGCAAGTTCACGCCAATTGTCTAAATCTTATGTAACAATAATTATATTCATCCGTTAGTTTTCATGTACCCTGCTTGTATATTCTTTACCTCAGAATATTGATGATAAGTCAGCGCACATCGCCTTCTGATACGTTTAATGTATTCCTCTCTGCTAGAATGTGAAAAAGGTCCAAAAATAATGAAAGCACATCCACCTGTTACTTCACAGTACTGATCAGAATTATTAAAAGTGTAATTGCTATCAAACTCCTTTTAGGTTAGAGTACAAATATCATACGATAAATCACACCAACAATATTTTGATTCGCCAATTTCTTTCACATTACAAGAGACAATTCACTCGATAATTAAATATATAAAAAGAAAACATGCAATAATAAACATATAACAATTATTTTCTAAAAAGTCGAAATCGATCTATGTCACCAAAGGATTCTAACAATATTTCCATTTCTTCCTATTAACTTTGACGAACTATTTGTTTGTTTAAATAGTCAAAAACTTGTGGCCACGGTTTATCTACGATTAACATAGCTTATTCTACATATACTTAAGTTTTCGTAACTTTTAATTAACCGCTCATCTGCTTAATCTTTTCATACTGTCTGCGCAGAATCCCCAAACTCTCTCGACTAAAAATTGCTGATCGTGGAAAATCGTCATAAGCACGACGTCAATACCGAGGAATCACCACGGAAAAATCTCAATTTCGAACTCTTTTGATGGCCGCCGCGGCAAAATAGTGTCAGTAGTGATTTCTCTGGCGGATGGCAAAAAACGAATCGCATCGAAATAGGAAAAGTTGGCGCGGCAGTGATGTATGTACTTTCTGCATACGAGTGACGCTGGACCTTTTGTCATAAATTTATACCCGCTGGCATTTTAATTCGTCATTTATCTATTTTATAAAATTATGCAAAATTTTAAAAGTGAATTTAGTGTTATTTTTTTGTAGCCATAAATAATTTATGATAAATTTTGTGTGTAAAAATTCGTGGCAAAAATGAATTAAAAGCGTATGTACGAGTATGATAAAGCAAAATAGATTTTAAAAATTTAGTAAAATAAAGTGGATCCTGCTTATCGCGCAGACAGAAGTCCAATGGAAATCAAGTAAATACAAAAACTTTTTTCAAGCTGTGATATGATGATATTCTTACTCCATACATATCAGAATATTGTTTACACAAGCTTTCAATTGTGATATTGTTAGTAGCATCCACATATACATATTTCAATAGTGACGTCACATTGACTCTTAAGATATACAAATGCAGCCAAAAATACAAAACCATTGTTTTACATATTTAAATGTATGTACACACATATATGTATGTATTACATGAACTGTTTTTTACAGTATTGCCTAGGTGAAGATTATCGTAAAAACAAATGAGGCGATGACGTTCTCCCAGCTCTTCCATTTACAATGATTACAGTTTTTATTCGAGGGCTGCCGTGTATAGGAAAAGCTAAAATAATTCGCGCCGATTACTTTCACCAAAGAAACTCGATATTTAGGTAATCACCAATTTTCTATATTTGCATATTTGAGAATGTGTCTTGTGAAAGTGGGTAAATACTCTAGCCCTCATATAATTATTTTAAAAGTGATGACGTTTTGTTAAGTTCCAAACCAAGCTCCTTACAGTGACCATCACTAATCCTTGGCTTTATTTATAGATAATCTAGTGTTTTCTAGCTACAGTGGTCACTAGTTTAAAAACATACTATAGCTTTGATAAAAACGCTGTTGAAGTTTACACTCAATTAACCGATCCCTTGCAGCTGCTGCCAGCTATCTGTTCTAAAACGTTCCAGATCGATCAAGATCGATCAACTCTTTGCTAATTGTCGAATAACTCGGTAAGTAAGCAGTAGTAAATTCTGAGTACCCTTAACCCTTTATACGTATAAAAGCGGATGTATTAGATTGTAGTTTAATGTAATTTGTGAAATCGGTCCATGGACTACCCCAGGATAAATGATCATCATGCCGTGATTAGTGGATTTAATTCATATATTATATATGTACATATGTGAGAAATTGTTTACCGATATTTGAAAGTAGCCAGGGATTTGATACTTGCACACTGCGAGGTTATAAAGGTTACTACATCCTATAGCTCCTCCTTATACTTGTTCTTACTCATTTCCACGCCTATAAAACAATGTCGTTAATTAAGCAACAAAAATCAAAAGATCGCTCGGATCGAATGTTAAGCAAGATATCGCAAAATACCTGGGTCGCACATGCCCTCTGGCAGAGGATAATTTCTTACCCATAATAGGAATAGGGAACGGCAATCGGTCCCCAGTTTCTTATAATAGCGCCTGTTAAAATCATATGCACTTGAAAGAATACTCTCCGTACTTAGAAATATTATTTTGCTGTTCGGGTATTGGCACATTTTACGTACGGTCTCTGCCTATGTGCGCGCTACGTAAGAATAAAATGAATTTGAAAGTTCGTGCTAATTTTTTGTACGAAAAGTCACTGAGCGAAAATTGGTGTTGTCCACACTATTATTCTTTTGCTCAGGAAACTTGACGCGTCTGTCACTAAATAAACGGCGTGATGGCTGGCACATGTGCATATGTATTCAACTATCTAAACAGTATATTAGTAGGTGACAGATTTCACATTAAATTAATAATTACAATAATTATTTTTCATGTGTGCTAATATTTATACATACATACGTTTCGTTGTTACCAAAAACAAAAACAAAAAAAAAATACTTACAAGACATCTATATTGGAACAATTTTATTTTATATTGCTGTTTATTTTCTTTCAATATCATCATAATTTTTTAATTTTTTGCGCGGTTCTCAGAAGCGATAGAAAATAGTTAGGCCAGAAAATTTAATGTTAAATATAAAATGAACTATAAATCAAATTATCTAAAATTTAATATCACCGCTCGAACAGTTGATCAATGTTTGGATATTAAAAGAAAAATACATTTTTAAAACAAGTGCGGAAGAGCTAAGTTCGGGTGTGACCAACCATTTTATACTCTAGCAATTTCCGCGAATCAATGCCAGATAAATACTTTAATATGTAAAACATCAACCATAAGATCTAAACATAAGCACTGACCGACTTATTCGGTAAAAGATTTGCTAGAAAAACGAAAACCATTATATAATATGTAGTATGTGGGAGTTGTAAGGTTAGCCGAATGTTCGACAATCCTGATATTAGTTATATGGAGGCTAGAACAAGTTTTCGCCCAATTTCATCCATAGACACAAATATACACTGTTACGAGTAAAATACGCTTTTTCATTTTTCATCAGATGACTCACATATTCGCCGAAATCTGTGGTATAAAGTCACAAGAAAGTTCGAAAATATTTATATTAGGTATATGGTGATTAAGGGAAGTATTGGTCCAATTCAACCAATCAATTCCAATTTTGATACTCAGAGTTACTATTGTCAGGAAATAATTCTCTCTGCATTTCCTTTGTATATCCCCTACATTGACCGAAATTGTCGGTCAAAAGTCAACTATTGATACCGGGGTCTAAATATTCGCTACCTAAGGACTTATTGGATTTAAACAATTTTTGGTCATAAAGTGGCATACTTTAAATGAATTATTAATTCAAAGTTTTATCACCTTATATTAATTGCTTCCCGATTTGTGTACTGGAAAGTGAAAGAATCAAATGGAATTTAAAACTGTGTGATATGGGAAATAGGCGTGATTGTATCTCGTCAGTTTTCACACTGTGATATAAGAATATCAGAAGAACGCCACGCACTAAATATAGTCAAAATCGCCCAAGCGGGGGCGGTGCCATTTTCACACCGGCTTCCATAAAGCTCTCTCATACAATCTCGGATTTTAAATTTAATATCTCTGGTGCATTTAGATATTATTATACGGGGAGTGACCGGGGTTATCTTCCGATTTCTATTATACTCTGTAGCAACATGTTGCACGAGTATAAAAAAAGACAACAAATGCGATGAACTGTCATAAATTTTATAAGCGGAGCCATTCAATCTAATTTATGAAACACATACCTTATAATATGCCACAAAGAACTTAAACAGACCAAACAAAAGATTTTCATGTGGCTCTTGGCATAGATCTTTTTTTTCATTTAATTGCGTACAGGAGCTTGTAAATGTATACATACATATATTAAACATACATTGTATATGAAAAGATACCAAGGGATCACATATGTATGTATATATGTAATTGTGTAGAAAAGTAAGGAAATAAATAAATTTCAAAAAATCTTCTTTTGATCGATCAAGCCGTTTCGTCGATTTTTTTCAAAAGTTTATGTGTTTTCTATGTATACCTTCTTCGGAAGTGTTGCTTTTGAAGGTTGTAATATATTTTTTCATAAAATTTTAACTTAGGTAATTACCATACTATTACTCAATCACACTTATCATAAACAATTGCAGATAAACACATATATCACCTGCACATGTACGTACGAGGGTTGGTAAACAGAATCTCCTCAAGGAACTAAAGAAAATAGTCATGACGCACAAGTATACCGCAGATGTGAGAATGGTCGGGTGTTCAAGATCCTAATAGCTGTGGCTTATGTTTCTAATAACAATGAAATACAAAATAGTTCAAAATAGAATGATTGGATATAGGTACATATTTACATACGCTTTTACCTCGGCATTTCAATGTTGTTAATTACATAATTTAATATACATATGTGCATATGTAAGCACATTTTTTTGTGTATATACCGTAAGTGTATAAGCCCCAGCTTTCGTACTTAATATTCAACTGCGCCAATTACCATGGAAAAAGCCTCCTCAACATCACATATAATAGTATCTTATATATCGAGCGTATTACGTGAAAGAATAAAGCCCACCGTCAACAAACTGATTGGACCTTATCAGTGTGGCTTTAGACCTGGAAACTCAACAACCGACCAGCCACCATGCGCCAAATTTTAGAAAAGACCCGTGAAAGGAGAATCGACACACACCACCTTTTCGTCGATTTCATAGCTGCCTTCGACAGCACGAAAAGGAGCTACCTTTATGCCGCGATGTCTCCATTTGGTATCCCCGCAAAACTCGGAAAGGACCTCTCCAAACTAAACAAGGTTTTAGACATGGCGCTTTCCCTTTCATGTGACTTCTTCAACCCTACTTCTGGAGAAAATAATTCTAGCTATAGAACTATACCGAGAAGGAACCATCTTTAATAAGAGTGTACAGCTACTGGCGTACGCCTGTAATATTGATATCATTGGCCTTAACAACCGCACCATTACTTCTGCTCTATTCAGAACGGAAAGAAAGAAAGCGAAGCGTATGAGTCTGCTGGTGAACGAGAGCAAGACGAAATACAAGTATCTCCAGTCATCAAATAAGCAGTCGTCGTACTCGCGACTTTGCACCCACGTCACAATTGATAGTCATAACTTTGAAGTCGTAGATAATTTTGTCTATCTCTATAATTTTGTATATCTCTTGCCAACAGGTGCTACTTCGAACTAATTAGGCAATTGAGAAGTAAAGTCCTGTCTCGTCGAACAAAAACAAAACTCTATAAGTCGCTCATTATTCCCGTCCTGCTATATGGTGCAGAGGCTTAGACCATGACAACAACTGATGAGTCGACGTTACGAGCTTTCGAGAGAAAGACCAGGTGGAGAGAGAC